AAAAAAAAAAGACGGGGTTTCATTATGATGGCCAGGCTGGTCTTGAACTCTTGACCTCAGGTGATCCACCCACCTCAGCCTCCCAAAGTGCTAGGATTACAGGCATGAGCAACCGCGCCTGGTCTTTTCTTTTCTTTTGAGATGGAGTCTTTCTCTGTTGCCAGGCTGGCATGCAGTGGCGTGATCTTGGCTCACTGCATCCTCCACCTCCCAGCTTCAAGCGATTCTCCCCCCTCAGCCTCCCAAGTAGCTGGGACTACAGGTGCACGCCACCATACCTGGCAAATTTTTGTATTTTTAGTAGAGACAGGGTTTCACCATGTTGCCCTGGCTGGTCTTGAACTCCTGACCTCAAGTGACCCACCCACCTAGGCCTCACAAAGTGCTGGGATTACAGGCGTGAGCCACTGGAGCCTGGCTGGGCCCAAGAATTTGACCAGTTGATATTAAGGTTGAACACAGCAAATGTCTCAGAAGACTCTAGAAGGCTGAAAGCTTGCGGGAGGGGATCTCCTAGCATCACTGTGTGCAGACAGTGTGGTGTGTTTAAATCAGCAGGAGGCTGGAGAGCTGGGTTCTCTTCTGTTCTTAGCTCGGCCACTCCCCAGCATGCACCTGGAGCAGCATCCATCTCCCTTCTCTTCTCTCAGCCCTGGTTTTCCTATTTGCAAAAGGAGAAGTTTTAACTAGATAAGCCCTACGATTCTCTTCAACTTTGCAATTTATGTATGTAAAATTCATGCACCACCACCAGGGGGAGCTAAATCCATGATTAGCTGGGCTTTGCATCCAAGTAGCTAGAACTATGGAACCTTTCGTTTTGCAATCCGACAACTAAGCAAAAGAGCATCAGGGGTTGGGAGTCACAGATGGGGGTATTTTGTATACCAACTTACAATATCAAACAAAACTGTAAATATTTTCAGTATAAAATTTGATGGGTCATAAGTGAAGTTATACCAGTGGAAATTTTAGCTCTTCTGAGAATTCTTTCCTCTTCTCCCAAACCTTGTAGTTTTCTCCCATAATTTCTGTTACAAGCACATTGATATCCTGAAATGTACTGTGCTGATAACGGGGTCATATTCCACATTGTTGCTGCAGTTCCGGATCTTTTAAAGGCGGTTCACATCATCTGTTTTTCCATATTAAGACATCTTTAAAGTTTTCCTTTGTTTCTATTTAGAATGTGTTGCAATCTGAGTAGAGGAACTAAATCTTGAAGAACTGTTGAAGGAGATATAAGATCATGAATGACCTGTCTAACATCAAAATGTTTTGGGGTCTGTAGATTTTCAGTGTTGCTGCTTGACAGTAACCATTATGTGAGTAGAATAGCTGTTGCTTTGATGGTTCTGCAGAACGGGTCTTAAGCAGTTACGCCTTATTGTACCATTCATCTCTATTTGTAATTCATTCTTTTCCCTTACTGGAGTACTTTCAGAAGAGCATGAACTATGGAAGTAAGGAGTGGTGACTGCTTTCTTTTTTTTTTTTTTTTTTTTT